AAAAAAAAAAAAAAAAATAGTTTGAAACAAAATAAAATTTGAAAAAAAAAAGTAAAGTACAGTGAACAATTATGTACTATATTAGAGTAATATTATTTCTATTATTATACGAAACTGTAACGTAAATTAGAACATATTTATCGCACAACTTCATAGTGAGATGCATCATAGAGTAGAATTGCTCTCACATTTTTTATTTTTATTTTTTGCCTTATGACTACAAAATTATAGGGCGTGATGGGATTCATAAATTTTCACTAATGTCCATACCTGTTTAAATTGAAAAAAATTGATCCAACAAATATATTTTTAGACCATATATGCATAAGCGAGGCCCACCGCTAAAAAAAATGAAAAAAATTGGTGGCAAATTCTCCCCTACACCATTTAAGTCCATTTATTATAAAAAATAAAAAATAAATAAAAAAAATGAATGTGTTTATTATTAAAAACACTCATTTTAATTTAATCTCCAAAACGTATCAACTTTAGCAAAAATTGTTGCAAGTCATTGTTTCTCAATAATGAGATATTATTATAAACTTCTGACATCATTGGGCATATATTTCTTAAGAAAATATCCATAACAAAATATGTCGGGAGCCAACACATGATGAATTTGAGATAATTGGCGGCCCTTTATTGTCAAACTAATTACACAAGTAAAGCAAATAGTTTTTAAACCGATTGATAAGCGTGGTGGGTTTTGCGACAAATTGGTCATCACATAAATAATGTTTGATCAATTTGATTATGGAAACTAAAAAATAGTCATGTGTGGGTTCAACTTTTTACTATATACTAGTATATACCCCGTGCGATGCACATGACAAAATATTAAATGAGTTATTTTCATAGCCTTGTCTGTTTAAGTCTAAAAAGTAATAATGTTATTATCTTTTTTCTACCTCTTTTAATCAACGTTAAGTATAAAAAATTATTAAGCCGCCATCTGGCAAATATGTATGGAGTTATGTGTTCGTGTCTCATAAGTCACAAACATTATGAATAACATTACAAATTATTCATTCAAACTTTTATTCATTGCAAATATATTAAAATAGTTTATATAACAGCCATTAAGTATCACTTTTTATATATTTATAAATAAAAAGTACATAAAATTTCTTGTGTGTTCAAATTTAAATAATTTTTTATGGGTTCAATTTTAAATCATACAGATATTTGGTCAAACGCATATGTGTTCAAATTTAAATCATTGACATTTTGGTCGGTTGAAATTTAAATCATCTATCATGGTACTGTGATGTGTATTATATATATAAATATATATACAATTCTTTAACAAATAATATTGCTTTATAAAAATAATAATAATAATAATAATTTCACAAAATTTTAAACGTAAAATTTGGTTTTTAATCACAATAGAAAAATCATGGAAAGTTGTATTGAAAAGTATTATGAGATAAAACAATTAACTAAAATAATTAAATAAAATATTTAATGTAAATAGAATGCATTAATTACCTCTGACTTTTCTTACTACTAATTCTAGTAAATAAAATATCTTTTTATATAAGTACAGAAGATTTGTTTATTTATCAATGTTTTTAGATGCGTTTGTGAGTATAAATTCTTTTTCAATAATTTTTTTAAGCAATTTTGGATCTACTTAATTAAAATATGAGAGTATCACCTTTAGACATAAAATATTTGGTATTATGGCCAGAATCACACAACCAAGAGATTTATATACGAACTCTGAAGATATATAGGAACTTAAAAAAAAAAATATAAATAAATAAATAAATTGATAGATGTGTAAACGGTAAAGGAATTATATCTTAATCTAAACCTCAACTGAGTGAGGTACCGAAAGAAAACTCCGGCGAGAACTTGAAAGAGAAGGAAATCAGAACTGGGGTGGTGTTATTATGTCGCTGGTGGATTACGCAGCTTCTTCAGACGAAGATGACGAGCTACAGAACCCTTCCCACCGGCTAAAAAATGAACAGCTGAAAAAAAACCCTGAAATTGCGCCAGCCCCATCATCCAACGATGCCTCTATTCGTTCTAACACCAGGTAAATTACCCGAAACGAGTATTAGTATTTTTTCCTTTGCTTGTGAATTCGAATTTTGCAGTTAGACCGATTATTTGTTTGAGCAATTTTTGGAGTGTTAATCCTTCCTCTCATTAATTGCTGATGAAGGGTACTTTTTATAAGAAAAAATAAAGAGAAAAAGCACGAAATCAGGTAGTTTGAGTGGTATTTTCAGAAATAGTTGATGGTTATGATATAATAAAATGCACAAGCATAATATGTTTTTGTTTTTGTTTTCTCCACAAGTTGGGAAGTGGTAGAAGGAGAGGATAAATCTTGAATAATCTGTATAATATGTGTAACATTTCAGAATTTTAAATCAGACGAAAGGGTGCTGATCTGTAACCGCTCGAGGCTCATGGAAATTGTACGTGTGTTTGGACGAAGTTAAGTTTAATGTGCCTTAGATGTATTATTGGAAAGAACGATCCCGGGAAAAATGGGATATAGACAGAGAGTTATATCATGCACAGCCTTCATTCTGGATACTTAATAGGAATTGATAAACAACTTCTACTTCTTAAAATCTCCTCAAGGCTGCAAATATTATCAATTGATTGTGAGCTGCTTAAGGTTGTATTTGACTTTACTATTCTGCGTTTGGCTTGGTGTTGAAGTCCAAAACGTACAAAATTCCAAAGCAAGTATGCTTAACAGCTTTAGAGATTAATGACACCCGAATTTTGTAGGACGATATAATGATATTATTCTTGTTCATCCTTCTCCGTTGAGACAGTGTTACTGTTCATTTCATATCTGTCCTTGTCTATAGAACAGCCATTAACGTGTCCAGGTGAGGATGATTTAGGATTTGATATAGCCTTTTTTCACCAACTTAACACTTTAATGTTACAGCCACTAGTTTCTTGTATACTAGGATTTGCCACATTTTATGTTTTCCTTGATTGAATATTCATATGTAGTGTTTTGACTTGTAATCAGTGTTAAAGCAATGATCGGCTTTGGTAGTGCAGTAAAGTAAAAGACAAGTCCACCTTGGGGAATGAAATTTTTAGTGAGTTCTGGTTAGAGAATCCCGGCATCTGAAGTGGTATATCTGCATATTGATTAATGTCATTAGTTTTTTAATTTTTCCAATGAGCTAAGTTATTTTGTCATGCTAATAGAAGAAGCAAGAATATCGTAGAATTTTATTCTTTTCTGGTTAGTAAAGGAAGAAATAGTGTAGAATTTTATTTGGATTTTCTCCTTCAATTATTCTTTTCCATGGTGGTTCTACTTTGTGTCGAGAAATTGGGTGAAGAATTGCGGCGGTCCCTGGAAGAAGTAATGAGATAGGGATTTCATTTCTGATGCTGAATCATCAATTTTATGGAATACATTAAAAGCTTCTAGAAGGCACTATTTTAGACGTCTCTTCAGTGTGAATATCATTTTCCTATAAAATGGTAAATGTTTTCTCTTTGTTTTTTGCCTTCTTTTATCCCTGTTCTGTAGTTATTACCTTTGAAGGTTGGGCGGATGTGTAGTATTATTTGTAATGAAATTCTCCTACTTTCTTATTCATACATTCACTATCTAGGACATCTGGAAATCTATGGCCACCTTCAACTAAAAAGGCAGAAAAAGTTTCCAATCAGTCTTCTGAGCTGAAACTTCCTGATGCCTCATTTCTCTTGAACTCACCCGTTTTGCCATCTAATCTGTCGAATGTTTCGGATCACTCATCTCGAGTTGCAGCTGCCATGGCCGAAAGTGCTTCTAGAAAAAGAGAGTTAATTGGGCCAACAGCAAAAGGTGTTCCAGATACCGTAGGTGTTCCAGATACCGTAGGCGGTCATTTGCTTCCACCTCAGCTGGCCGGAAGGTGTGTATCATTTGATACTATATTTATCAAGTTGTCTATGTGTTTAATTTTATTTTTTGAGACTGTCGTTTTGGCTGCAATATTGATTTCCCTTGATAAAATGTTTTATTTTCTTATTTTTGGTTTGCCCTAGAAATAGGGTTGTAAACGAATCGAATCAAAGCGAATACCCAGAGATTCGATTCGATTCGTTTAAAATATTCGAAGATTCGATTCCATAACGAATTCATTTTTTGATTCGTATTCGATTCGTTTAGAATATTCGAACATATTGGATTCGATTCGAAATTCGTTTTCAAAATTATAATTAAAAAATATTATAATTTGTAAAATTTATATAATTATTGTTAACGAATCGAATATTCGAATTTCGAATCGAATATCTACACATTCGAATTCGAATTCGTTATAATTTCGAATCTAAAACATCATTCGAATTCGAATTCGAATTCGAATATTTCGAATTCGAATCACGAATATCGAATTCGAATCACGAATCGAATCAAAAATGTTTGATTTGTTTACAACCCTACCTAGAAATCTTCAATAGCTTTTCCATCTTACAAGTCATTGCTATTTGTTAGAGCAATATTTCACATTGTTTCGTACATTTTCTTGTTGGTTCAGCTTCTCTACGGTTTCTTACATGGATTTGCTGATGTCACTTGTGATATTCTGCAGGAGCAATATTGTGACAGAAGACATAAGCAAGCTCTTTGTGAGAAAGAATACGAAATCGTCCACAGAATAATAGCCTACAATTTGATTGTAACTCTGTGTGTTGAAGTTAGTAGCATCTTGCTAGGCCTATTGATTTACCACAGCTTGAGGTTAAGGATGGAAGAAAGGAAATCGTGAGATGCTGTCAATTTTTCGTTGTCCATTTCAGATCTACAGAATGGAATGTGGTATGCGTGTGAACAATGGGCACAAATTATTGCAATGTTTAGGGCAACAATTCTGAGTACTTGCAGATTCTATGTGTTATAATGATGAAAGATAATATCTAGGGGCTGAGCTTTCACGCTATTGCAATTACATGTGTTACAGTAATTAAGTCCGTTCTCATTCAAGGACTCTGGGCAGTGACGGATCTAGAAATTTTTTTCAGTGGGGCCCAATTTTGAAATGTTACTAATGAGTTTGTAGTTATGTCGAAACGCTCATTTCTAAAAAGACGTTTACTTGTTAATATAGTATCGATATACGTACTCTCAAGTTTTTTAAATTTTAGAAACAGTACCACCTTCGAACTTTTACAAAAATAAACAAAAAAAAAAAGATATTTTCCGTATTTATAATGTATGTTTAAGATTTATAATTTATGATTCTTTTGTATAAAAATATGATTTTAATTGAACTTTTACACCACATTGCATAGTATTTTGTTGATGATAGTTTATCAAATGACCCAATTTGTAAGAAAAATAAATAAAGTTAAAAATATAAGATTATACCAAAAAAAATAAGAAACCAACATTAAAAAATCTAACAATCCAACTAAATCATTAAATTATGTACAATCCCAAATTTTTCTCTCGCCTCTCTCTAACTCTATCTCTCTAAAAAACAAAAATCCAAATCTACTATCGCCTTCCTCCAGCAGGGGCCTCCGAGCCATCGAGGCGGCCATCTCCGGGCCGTGCGACCGGAGTTTCAAGGCTCGTTGGACTGGCGGCCTCTTCTTCCCGGTTGAGGCGGCGGATTCGCCCAATTTGGATCTCGCCTCTTCTATCAATCGCCAAGGAGGGTTTTGACCGGCGACTCCCTGGAGTCTGGGTAGCGGCGCTTTTCCGGCAAGCCTGCGACTAAGGGCTGCGGTTCCGATCATCAATTTTGGAGTCGGTGGTGGTCGGGCTGAGATCGGGCCGTTTCGCTTTCCTTCCTTCTCCGGTTCTCTCTGCTTTTGGGCTTGTTGGTTTCATAGGTGGAGTGGATTCGGGACCGGGTTTGTGTCCTGGGCTCAGGTCAACGGGGTTGTGATGGAGCTTGTTGTTGATCTCCGACTTCGGATGTAGAGGTTGTCTACCCGGGACAGACAAGGTTTTTAGTCTCGAATCTAATTAGGCGATTATTCTACAATTTCTGGCTTTGCAACTTGGACCGGATCCTGTCCGTGTGGGTGGTCGGCGTCTAATTGTATTCGGTTGGTTCTCGATGCTGTTGGAAGGGCTTCAGTTTTATATTATTTTTATTTCAATTTTAGTGTATTTGTTGTTTTTCTTTTGTTGTTATGTTTGTGTTAGCAGTAGGAGTTTGTGTTATTTTTACTTGCGTATTCTTCCGTAGGAGAGTGTGTATTCTCTCGTAGGGGAGTGTATATTCTCCCGTCGGGGAGTGTGTATTCTCCTGTTGGGGAGCGGGTATTCTCCCGTTGGGGAGTTTTTGTGTTTTTTTGTGTTGTATTGTGGATTCTAGGCTACCGTGGGTAGGCCTCCCTTATTCGGTTTCTGAGCCGGTTGTAATTATGTGTTCTAGTAATGATATCTATTGTAAAATATAATGATTATTATATATTTTACAACAAATAAATAATATTATTAATTTATATTAAAATAGCATTGAAAATAAGTTTAAATTATTTACATATTTTAAATACTTTTTCATATTATCCCTTGTAATTGTTTTATATGTATATATAATGAATTTTGAAAAAAAAAAAAATTGAGGGGGGCCACGGGCCACCCTAGACCTCATCTAGGCCCGTCATTGACTCTGGGGCTCTGATGTGTATTGTGTAGCGCCCTGTATTTTGATTAAAAACATGTCGACTTTATTTATTCAAGCTTGAGTAATTTTATTAAGTTTAGAATTTAATCCTAATTATAAAATTTATTTAATTTTAATCTTGTAATTATTGAGATAATCAAATCAATTAATCTTATTAATCTAATTAAATCTTATTAATCTAATCAATTAAGAAAATATCTTAATCTATTAATTCTTAAATTAAGTAGCCTAGTGAAACTCCTAATTTAATAATTCCTAATTAATTAAGGAGATCTTTAGTAAGGAAATAAGTAAGACCCTAGAACCAAAAACTGCAGACTTATGATCAAGAGCGTATATCTTGATACTTGGTTTGCTTCGAAAGTTGTTTGTCATAGCTTCCTTCTCGGTGATAGGTTGTTTCAAAGGATACAAAACACCGGTGAAACGCCCTTTTCGACTTTTGCGATAAAACTCTAGAAATTCTAACACAAGAAAACCAATGGTCGGGTTTTTTTAAAAATTCAAGACATAATAAAATTGACTATTACAAGGGGTATTTAAAGAAAATAAAAACTAATCCTATAGAACTAGTGCGAGTAAGAGATATTTATTAATATTTATAAATTAAAATTTCTCATTAAATAATATTTATAAATTAAAAATATGAAATAAATATATAATATAATTTATCTATATTAATTTATTGAAAATATTATATAAAATTTATATTTTGCAAAATTACATAAATCATGTTTGTTTAAAATTAGTACACAACCCGTACGGTGTACGTAACTGATAGTATATTACATTATATTGATAGAGTTTGGATTTAACCTTATGCGAAATAAATCGCTTAATCCAAAGAGATTTCATATCGAATAATCGAGAATCATAATCAGATAGCGGAATGTATCAAATGTATCAAATGCACATATTTAATCTCAAAATAGATTTAGCATATGTTCATTTCAAAATGTGTCATTTTAAAAATTTTATTTAGAAATTCAATTTGACTACAACGTGATTCTATAAAATAAATATTTTAGTAAAATGTTATTATATATTTAAAAATCTATGAATAATAAGTATAATTATAGAACTTATATTGTTTTATTAATTAAAATGAATTTATTTTTGTATAAACTATCCATATTGAAAAAATTAAGTAGTTGAGCAATTTATTAAACTATAAATAGTTGACTATTCAATTTACGTCCAAGTTAATATTGAACTGTAAGCTACAAATAATTATGTATTTGACTTTTAAATTTGGAACACAAATTTGGAATACACAATAATTTCTCTTATATTATATATATATATATACACATATATAATTTCACAATTTTCTAGATTTTTCGTCGTTTACCTTATCGTTCAAATTTATCAACTAATTCTCTAGAATTAAATTATAAATTTTAAACTTTTATTAACCAATATTTGTTCAAAGATCCTTTTTGAATTTCAAGAAATCCATATCAATTTGTCAAATTATCATTGATATCATATGACAAGTTATCATGGGAATATAATAAAATTTGTAAGTCATATCACCTTGATTTTAAAACAAATCAACGTAAACTTCATTTTTCTTACCCATGCCAAATAAAATTAATATCATTTATGTTGTTTTCAAAATTTTCAAATACACTTCTATCCATACGAAATAACATCAGTACCATTTATTTTTTTCTCTCTACTTTTTTAATATCCTAATCCAAAACAATCATTTTTTTATTCTTAAATAAAAATATTAAAATTTTAAAATTGTGATAAGTATTCTAATAAAAAAATAAAATTGCAAATAAAATTAAATCTCTGAAATTATGGTTATTTTAAAATGAAAGTAGTACATATTATTTAAAAGTTGCAAATCTTTATGGGTAACTGATAAATTATTAATTATGTTATTACCTTAGGAGGTAGAAGAAACTCTCCTTCCGGTATTGGGTTCTTGTAGGTTTGGAGACCGTTCGAAGTAGAAGAAAGTAGATTCGATTGTGTTAGCTCGAATCAAGACCGAACGAAGTCCGTTTCACTATTATAATTAATAACAAACCACTCAATAAACGATCACATGGTTGTTCGATAAACGACTCGTTAATTTATCCTTCTCAATCTATGTATACATGTTGGTTGATATATGTTTATACTATTTTGTATGTTGTGAATATTTTTCTAGTAGACATTTAAGTTCAATTTTATGAGATGCTTTACGCTACTAAAAAATGATATATTCCAATAGAAATCCAATGGTAATATTTTTTAATGGAAATTTTAACTGATATTCTAAGTATAACTTACATTGAAATGGTTTCAAAGAAAATTCGAATGAAAATATTTCATTGGAATTTTGAAGGAATTTGACTGTTTCAACGACTAAATTTCTAGCGGTTTATTATTGTATGAATTTTTTTTAGAATATGCAATTTCCCGTTGAAATTTTTATTTTCATCCACAACTGTTGTAAATGTCATAATTTAATAGATTACTCATTCCAATCGAATATTTTTGCAGGAATTTTCGTTAGGATCCATTGAAAAATTCCAACGACAATAATAGCATTGAAATATCCATTGAAATTGTTATTGAATTTCTATAGAAATATATTCTCGCTGAAATTTTAACGTTTCTTGTATTGTCGTTATTTTTAAATCAATACTGATTGCTATAAGCTTAAGTTTTATTATACATTTACAATAATTATTTATTTACTATTTTATATGTACAATATGGATGTCATATATTAGATATAAAAAATGATCAATACAATGCATTCTATATAAACAACAAAGAAATATTAAATTGTTTAAGTTTTATAAAAAAAATATTAATATTTAATAAGAAAAAGAAAAAAGAACAAAATGGATTTCACATTTAAAAATAATAATAAAAAAAAAATATTGAAAGCTTTGTGCATACGGAAATGTAAATCTCAACTAGGTAAAAATGTTATTTTGTGTCTATTTAGTTTATGTTGTTTTGTGGTGTTTGTGTTGTTAGTTTGTGGTGTGTATGTTTTGTTGTTTTTTGTTGTGT